CAATGACAAATAAGCTTGTTTACTTTTAGAATAAGAAAGAAGTCATATATTATTTATTCATACTCTTAAAGAAATCTTACTTTCATATCTTATCCTCAGATAACCCACAAGAAACAGACATGTATGGGGAAAGGTAGAGGGAATGTGTATTTTTTTTAATACCTTGAGCTAGAGACTGAATTCCACATTTGTGTGAGTGAGAATGTAAACTTTGATAGGTTAAAGTTCATAATCTTAGTAAACTATAGAGTTAGAGTTCGTACCCATTTTTTCCTGACTTCTGAGCCCATATACTTTTACAACTCTGCCACACTGAATAAATTCAATGCAATATAACAAGAAGTTTAATAGAGCCACATTTCAAAATATTTAGAATATGAGAGGAAGAAACAAATTCTTTATGGACCTTCTGCTAAAACAGTAAAAAGGTGACATTTGTGAAATATGATGAAAACAAGAACCATGGACAAATAAGGTAATAGGACAAAAATTCTTAACTTGGCATCTCTAACAACTTTTTCCCCATAATTTAGTGCCCAATTTCTCAATTCCTTTCAAAATCAATCTTTCTCCAAATTCCTTGTCATAGAAGCACAGACTACTTTGCTTGAAAAAAAAGGCTATCATAGTCAAGGAAGGGTGAGACAGGGAAAAAGAGACGGTGAAAACAGTAGGAAAGCTGGATACTAGGAAATGGTGGAAAGAGATGCTCCAGAGCAGTTGTAAGATGCAGTGCAGTGAAATTTCCTATTATGTGCTGCTGTGGTATTGGAGTTCTAAAGAAATGTACTTGTCCATGTTAAACGTACTTTTGATTTCAGGACTCTGTCTTTGTTAAGAACAAACCACATACATCCTGATTTTTTAAGGGTTGTAATGATACTTCCAATACCCATAATGAAAGGCAGGCAATGGGTTGTGTTCTTTGTTTTTTAAATTTGGTTTTTAACTGAAAGTGTACAAATTATAACTATACAGCTTGATATATTTTCACAAATAGAACAACTCAAGGTGCTTGTAACTTGGATTTTAGTATTTCTGCGTAATTTTTGGTGAGGAAGCACTATTATTTTATAAATTTCTTTTCTGTAGTTCCAAGAGCATATGCTGCAGTCTTCTGTGGGAGTAGACTCACTCAACATAATGGGAAGGACCATGCCAATGAGTGCTTTGACTTATGTGTCCATTCATTTTTATTGGGAGAAATTCTGATTCCTTCCCAATTAAGAACAGCACTTATTGGGTTGGCGCCCGTGGCACAGTGGTTATGGCGCCAGCCACATACACTGACCGAGGCTGGCGGGTTCAAATCCAGCTCGGGCCAGCTAAACAACAATGACAACTGCAACCAAAAATGGCTGGGTGTTGTGGCAGACACCTGTAGTCCCAGCTACCTGGGAATCTGAAGCAAGAGAATCGCTTAATCCCAAGATTGGAGGTTGCTGTGACCTGTGATGCCATAGCACTCTACCAAGGGCCACATAGTGAGATTCCATCTCAAACACCCCTCCCCCTACAACAAATAGCACTCATTAAGCAAGAATTGTTAAAATTATTAGGGAAAGATTATTTATCATGTTTAAATTGGTAAGTAACTATTGCTACATAACCATAAAAGTCACCTCTAAAATGCCCTAGTGGCTGAGAATAGTGCCAGTGATTCAAGCCTCATTGATGTGTTTTTGGTTTAGGTTTTTTTTTCTTTTTTCACATTTGAGCATCTTTATTTCTGAAATTACAAATAATCGTTGTTGACATTTGCAAGTAGAAAAACTAAAAAAGCAAAGGAATACCTCATCATAGCATTATTTTGTGATATAATGAAACCTCATGATGGCAGGTAGCCAGCATTTACATTCAGAGATACAATGTCATTTTAGTTAAATGTTACCTCCCCATTTTCCAAATTTCTCCTTGTTATTTTTTCTTCACATTAACTTCAAGTAAGACAAGTTTATACAACCTCTAATACCTGTTATAACTACTGTTGTTTTCTTTTTGCACATATACAATTTATTAAATAAACATTTAATCTATTTTTAGTAGGTAGCAAAAGAAATTGAAAACATATTTATCCCATTAATCACTTCCATATTTATATGTTATCACATTCTGAATTTTACTTCTATTTTGTTTTTAATCCACACAGAAATTGTTTTATTTCATTTATTCATCTATTTTACATTTCCACATAATGATGAATTAGTTTTTTATTAACTTTTTTATCTTAGACATTGTATAAGTGTTTTTTAATACATGGATGTCTTGTATAATGCTTAAGTCAGGGCTTTTGGTGTGTCCATCACCAAAATAGTGTTCATTGTACCCAGTAGGTAGGTTTGTATCCCATACCCATCCTTCTGCCCTCCCTTCTTCTTGGTTTCTCATGTTCTTTGTATCCCTTTGTGCCTGTGTGTGCCCTTCTGTTAGCTTCCATTTGTTATTGAGAACATACGTATTTGGTTTTCTATTCCTGAGATACTTTACTTAGGATAATGGTCTCCAGTTTCTTCCTCATTGCTGCAAATAACATTATTTCATTCCTTTCTATGGCTGAGCAGTACTACATGGTATATTATACACACCACATTTTCTTTGCCTGCTCATGAATTGAAGACATTTAGGCGGATTCCACATCTTTGGAATTGTGAATTATTTTGGTGCTGGTGTCTTTTTGATAAGATTTCTTCATATCCTTTGGGTAGATACTCAGCAATGGGATTGCTAGATCAAATGGTAGTTCTATATTTATTTCTTTGAAGAATCTACGTATTGTTTTCCATAGATGTTGTGGTAATTTGTAGTCCCACCAGGATAATATAAGCATTCCTTTGTCTCTGAATCCATGCCAGCATCTATTGTTTTTTTTTTTTTTTTGACTTTTTAATAATAGCCCTATTTTAATAGGGGTAAGGAAATATCTCATTATAGTTTTAATTTGCATTTCCCTGATGAGGAGTGCTGTTGACCATTTTTTAATATATTTATTGGCCATTAAAACTCTTATGGGAAAATATCATTGATAATAGATATTATCACCCTGGTAGTAGGTTAGGGGCTCAAGAGGAAAATGGATATAAGAGGGCCCATATGAAGAGGCATGGCTAGTAAATACCCTGAACGATGATATTTAATGTTGAGTCTTTTTCTTGCTGCATCATAGTAACTTTATTTTGCTTTCAATCCCAAGTAAAGGTGTTAAACATAATGGCCTTTTGAATTGTTGTTCGTGTTTGTTCTTTGTGGGAAAAAATGTACCGTTGAACATTAGGATAACACAGAGGCATATGAGATTACCAGAGGAAATGATAGAAACCTTTAGAACAATAATCTGGAGCAAAAATGAAAACCAGAATCTGAAAAAGCATAAATATTCCTTGGAAATTATTTGGAAGGTAACTGAAATATCTTCTGGCATGCATAGTAGCAATTGGATTATTATACTTAAGTTATTAAAGGAAAGAAAAATCCTTGAAGGCTGGAGAATTTGGGATTATTTTAGGTAATCCAAAATTATTTTTTGGATCCTCATAATTTTTTGCCTCAAAAATATTAGTGGAGGTGGGGTGGCTAAGAAATACTTTAGTTAAAACTATATGATTGTGATAAAATTTCAAGTCAAATTAGTTTTTTATAAAAAGGTAATAATTAACTCACATAATTTTTTTTAGTTTTAGTTATATTATTTTTTATGATAATTGTGAAACAGTTGACATAGTTGAATCAGAGTAAAAATAACAGCCTCAGACACTCTCTATCTTCCCCTGTAAACTCTCCTTTTGCATTTTTAGTTAGGCTGTTTCCATATACAGGTAAAGATTGGCTCTAGGATTGTATCCTATCCGTTTAGCAACTTTTAGTAGAAACATTGTCTCTTGTCTCATACTATGACAGCGTTCTTGGATTGAGTTTGATTAACTTGACCTGGGTCACTTGCCAAACTACCATAGCTAGAGGGATTTACTTTTTTTATTGGCTATTACTTTGTTCAATGCTTACCACTATTTCCAGAAAGTTGGATTAGACCCATCTAATATCACACAGACTCAGAGGGACAGACTGTTAAATTATAGAAAGAAATGTATGTATTCTTTTACTAGAAGAAGGAATACTTGACAAGAAAAACATAAATGTTCAACTCAAAATAACCAATAAAGGAGAATGAGAAGACAGAAGGAAGGAAGAGAAAGGAAGTAGATAAAGGAAGGAGGAGGAGTGTGAAATCAACCCAAGTGCCCATTAATCCATGAATGGATTAATAAACTGTGGTATATGTACCATCTGGAATATTATGCAGCCTTAAACAAAGATGGAGACTTTACATCTTTTGTATTAACCTGGATAGAGTTGGAGAACATTCTCTTTAGTAAAATATCACAAGAATGGAAAAGCAAGTATCTAATGTGTTCAATATTAATATGAAGTTAGTAGATGAATCAATACATGTCCACACAAGAGAAAAACTCAATTTAATTAAAGTTGGGGAAAAGGGGGAGGAGTCAGGGGAATTGGTGTACCTCATGGGTCCATGGAAGGGTAAATGGCACACCTTCTGGGTGAGGGGCACAACTACAACAGAGACCTTATGTAACAAATGCAAATGTTGTAACCTAACCATTTGTACTCTCATAGTAATCTGAAATTTAAAGAAAAAGAAGGGAGGAAGGGAATGGGCAAGAAGGGGGAGGAAATGGAAGAGAGAAGAGGGAGAGAACAGCAAAGGCAGAAGAGAAAGAGATAGGAAGAGAGGGGAGAGCAGGGAACCAGGAGCAGAGAGATTCATCTTGATGAAAAGCCATATGCTCTATATGGGATCATTTATCAGAGCTAGAAACTCTGCAGACACAACACTATTTAGAAAGTTTATGTGGTGATTCTATGTTGAAAAGAATGGGAGTCCCATATTTGTGTCTCTTGATACTGGGTTTTGTGACTTTCTCTGTGAATACAAAACACCTGATTTGATCCCATGTTGATCATATCACATGCTTCAAGGCCTTTCATATTTTCCCTAAATGTAAGTGTCTGCTCAGTACTTTCTTCATAGCTTCTTTTACCTCCTTATTCCTCAAGCTGTAGATAATAGGGTTCAACATTGGGGTTACAACTCCATAAGACAGTGCAATGATCTCATCAGATACTTTTGTGTACTTTGACTTGGGCTTCATGTACATAAAAAGAGCTGAACCATAGAATAAGATGACCACAGTCAGGTGGGCTGAACAGGTAGAAAAGGCCTTCTTTCTCCCCTCAGCAGAATTAATTCTCAGTATAGATGAGAGAATGAACACATAGGAGACAAAAATTAACAGTAGAGGAATAACCAATATGACAATACCTGCCACTGCCATGATAAGCACATTCATGGAGATATCTGAACATATAAGTTTAAGAAGAGCCAGAATCTCACAGGTTATATGATCAATGACATTATTTCCACAGAAAGGCAACACCATTGTCAGGACTGTTTGAACTAAGGAGATCAGACAGCCTATGATCCAAGACCACGCAGCCATTTGAATATATAATACCTTGTTCATGATGATGGGATACCTCAGTGGGTTGCAGATGGCTACATACCGGTCATAGGCCATCACAGCCAGGAGGACACACTCAGTGCATCCCAAGCTAAGAGAGATAACCATTTGGAGAGCGCAGCCAATGAAGGAGATAGATTTTCTCTCAGACATAAACATAACAAGCATTTGGGGAATGGTTGATGATGTGTAGCAGATATCCAAGAATGAGAGGTTTCCAAGGAAGAAGTACATGGGAGTGTGGAGGCGAGAATCTAATATGCTGACAATAATAAGGAGGCTATTTCCCAAGAGGATTATTAGGTACATGATGAGACAGAGCACAAACAGACAAAGCTGGAGCTCTGGGTATTGGGAAAGCCCCACCAGAAAGAATTCAGTTGCGGCAGAGTAATTTCCAGTCTCCATGTGTCCATGTCACCTGCAGAGTTTATGAGAGGACATGACTCAGAGTAATTTGAATTTTTGATGTATAAATTCATATCAGTTTTACCTCTGTGGTTTTGATTTATTCTTTGAACAGCCCCCCAAATCAGTAACAGCAGGGATATTGTGTTAATTTTACTAATGTAAAGAAGGCACTGGAAGGTCAATTCTACTTAGAATTACACAATAGCTGTTTTGGGAAGTGTCTTGGGAAGTTGTTTTGGGAAGTGTCAGGCCTCTAATTACATAAAATATAGGGATAAACTACTTTCAGTTGTAGATACATGAGGAATTCTTTATGAATAAATATTTTGAAATAGTATTTTATTCTAATAAAGTGGGATCTAATTTAAAGTATCACATAGACTTAGCAGCATGTCACTTATCTTTAGTATGACTATTTTGAGCTACTTAACTTTTGGAGACGCAACTAGCTAAGCTACTAGTGTCAGCTACAAAAATGGGGGAAAACTATGACTCTTAGACAGTTTACTGTGAGAATTAAGTTAGACAAAATTCATTAGGTGTCTGGCATAGTAGGTAGCTCTAACATCATCTAAAATATGTATGTGGGAGTGCAATATGATTTAGTATAACAATATTAAGTGTATATATGTATTCATAAATATTATATATTATAATTTTAAAGTCTACCTGATTGTCTCAAAAAGAAAGAAAATTGATTTGATTTTGTTTTCTCATAAATTTTAGGGCAAGGGATTTGACATTTTGGCCCATAATTTATGGACCATGAACAGTTTCTGATCTAAGGTGAATATCTAACTAGTTAAGAGTCTGGAAATTATTGAAGTTTGGTTCCCAGCACCTTCCAGGCATCAAGGAGACTGGGCTGTCATTGGGTAAAGCTTTATTCAAGGCCTAGAATTCACCGTTCTTTAATATAAATCACTGAGTACTACCTTTCTTCCTAAGCTTTGCAAGTGAAGAGTGCATCCTTAGGTTTTCCATATTATTTTTATTTGTGGTCATGTAGCTCTCATATGTGGCTGAACTGATGGCTAATTTTTATTGAGTACTTTGTTTTAGGTACATTACACTATTATAAGTTCATTTAATATATTAATTCATTTAATCTTTAGTGCAACTCTATGACTCATACAATTTTTTTTGACTACCATTAAGTGGGAGAAAACAGAGACAAAGAAAAGTTTAAATAACTTTTACAAGGTCACAGAGATAATAAATGTTAAATCTAGAATTCAACATCTAGTCACTTGGCTCCTGAAATGGCTCTATTACTTTCTATATCAGACTATCTCATAGATTCCTGTACCAACTCTAAAGAGAATATTATAAAATGTTTATTCTTGTGTTAAATTTATATAAGAATAATCATTTGTTTTATGTCTTATCATAGTGATGTGTATGATAGAAAACTCTGAAGGCTGGATCATAGTCTCCTTTTTCTTTGGAATGTGATCTTAGTTTTTTACATGTACCAAACAATCCCACAATTGTGAGAATAGCATAATCAAGAATAACATGAGAACTCTCGCCCTTACATTTGCCTCTGACAATCATGCACCTGGAATCCTTCAGTCTTTATCTTTACTCTGCAAATTGGCATACACTTCAGGGTCTTTAATTGTTCTAACTCTTGCCTCTTCCATTGCAACTAACTTTTTGCTAAGCTGTGCCTACCTATAATTTTAGCCCCACATCCTTAAAAACTCAGTTCCTCCAGTTGTTTGATTATTTATCCTGTTAAGGTGACCAAACATGATTATTGATTTATTATATAAAGGATTATGTCTTTTGCTTTGTTATACTATCACTGTTTTTTTTTTTTTGAGACAGAGCCTCAAGCTATCCCCCTGGGTAGAGTGCTGTGGCATCACAGCTCATAGCAACCTCCAACTCCTGGGCTCAAGCAAGTCTGCTGCCTCAGCCTCCCAAGTAGCTGGGACCACAGGTGCCCGCCACAACGCCTGGCTGTTTTTTGGTTGCAGCTGTCATTGTTGTTTTGGTGGGCCCGGGCTGGATTTGAACCCACCACCTTAGGTATATGTGGCTGGTGCCTTAGTCACTTGAGCCACAGGCGCCAAGCCACTATCACTGTTAATAGTCTTATTCCCTGGGTTATTGTAGAAGAATGAAAACATTTCTTGAAGATCAGCTACACATTTTCTCTGGCATTTTTGTATTCAAAGAGCTAGAAGACATGGGATGAGGGGCTTACTCATTTGCTGGTCATAGGTGACAGCACTCTTATCTTCCAATAAGGGACAGGACAGGAAAAGTATTCTCTCTCCATTCCTTTTCCATATAATTTCTCTTCTTCTTAGAGAATATCATCTGGAAGGTGATTTTGATAAAGTTAAAGAGATGATTGTACCAATATTTTAGTATAATGAAAAATATTCCCTTCTTTCTAAACCCTCCTTTCCTGTTTATAGTCACATTGGTACATGGACTTATTTCCACAAAGGAATCCATTATAATCATATTCATCATGATTTATAATTGAAATTCTACTCATCTCTCCCCAAATCTCTTTAATTTGTTGGAAGACAGTTGTGAAAGAGGAGTAGCAGATAGCCATTCTAGAGAATGAGGAAGAGGAGGAGAAGGAAAAGAAGCCAAATTTTAGTCTTAGAGAAAGTACACTAAACTTAACACTTGTATAATAGGAGTGAAGTTATTGAGGAGAAAGGGATGAAGGAGGTGTGACTATATTTGGCTCTGTTTAAAAAAGGTTCCAAGTGAGAGAAGATATTTTTCCATAATGAAGGGCAAATGAAAGAAAGCAAAAGTAACGACTTCACCAAAACACTTAAAGCATCGCGAAAAGCCTCTCAACTCCCTCAATTTCCTTTCTTCTCCTACTTTTGCCATTTCTCTTCCCATGACAGTGTCAAGAAAGGAGTACTGAGTGTATTTGCTCTTTAATAACCTCGTCAGAATCCCCACATAAGACACACAGATAGAGAAATACATTCTGAGGAAATACAATGTTCTTACTAGGAAGCCCAGCGAAAGTCCTCTACCCCATGCTCCAACAACATTGTCAGCCTTCGGTCCCACTAATGAAGAAATTCCAAAGCCACTACTGATAATCCCAATTCTCTGCAATGACTACATGGGGTTTCTTTTAGCCTCCGCCAAATACTCTTTCATCTTCATCCATTTGTACATGTTATTTTTTTAAGCTGAAGGAGCTTCTTCCAACTTACATGTTATCTTTTCTAAGAAACATCCTCACTTCTTGGTCTGAGTAGGATGCCTCTAGTACATGTTTTCTGAGCTCATAGCATTCTTCATTTACTCATTTGTTCAATACATACCTTGCCATATATACTGTGAAACATAATAGGGCTTCATTGTGAATACTAGTCTCTCAAAATGGACAGTTATTTAACACTTTGAAGAAACAAACAATGTGCTATATAACATGTTCCCATGTGAAAGATGTTATGGAATACTTTGTAGATTATTTTATCAAACTAAAATAGCCCTTTTACCCAAAACTATCAACTATCCTATTAATAAAATATATATCCAAAGAACAGATAGTACATTCAAATTGTATGCTAAAATGATGTCAGTTATTTTAATTAACTAAACCGTTGTGATACATAGCGAAAATTATTGCTTGGAAATCTATCAGTATAATATATACTGCACTGCTAGTGGGAATGCAAACTAATATGTTCTTTTTGGAAAGATGTTTGGAGATCTCTTAGGGATCAAATAGACCTGCCATTTGATCCTGCAATTCCTCTACTAGGTATATATTCAGAAGACCAAAAATCACTTGATAACAAAGATATTTGCACCAGAATGTTTATTGTAGACCAATTCATAATTGCTAAGTCATGGAAGAAGCCCAAGTGCCCATTAACCCATGGATGAATTAATAAACTATGGTATATGTACCATCTGGAATATTATGCAGCCTTAAACAAAGATGAAGACTTTACCTCTTATGTTTACATGGATGGAGCTAGAACATATTCTTCTTAGCAAAGTATCTCAAGAATGGAAGAAAAAGTATCCAATGTACTCAGCCCTAGCATGAAACCAATTTATAAGCACCCACGCTTCCATGTGAAAGCTATAACCCAACTACAGCCCAAGATGAAGGGGAAAGAGGAGGGGGAGGGGAGGGGAGGGGAGAGGATGGGTGGAGGGAGGGTAACTGGTGGGACCACACTAATGGTGCATTTTACAAGGGTACATGTTAAATCTACTAGGTGTAGAATGAAAGTATTTCAAATTATATATAAAACCAGCACATTGTACTCCATAATTTCATTAATGTACACAGCTATGATTTAATAAAAGAAAATACGTAAAACAAATAGATAACATTTAAAAATGTGTTATTAATATTTTCCTCGAATTATCTGATCCAACAATAGACTAAAAAATGGAAATACGTGACATTGCATGTACTATCACATTTCAAATTCTATTATGCTTCAACAGTTGCTGTAAGTTTGTATTCTAGGATTCTGACATTCTGGAATATGATGGTCATGGCATATATGTGAGAAGATATAATGTCACATGTAACATAATCAATGCAAATTATAGTCATAGAGGTGAGTTAAGGACCAGAGGCAATACTCATGATAGCATACACAAAATGTTTCTTAATAATATAAAAGATTGTAATTTTGTATATGTGTGCCTGTAAGAACTAATTCAAAATGTTAACTATGGTTTTTCTCTGGGACTTGGAGAACTAATAAGTTTGTCTATATTTTCTAAATAATTCTTCGTTAACCTTTATTTCATTATTCTAAATATCAGAAATAACATTTTCAAATTTTCCTTGGAAGGTGATAGTGGCAAGGACATCTAAAACTTTGGATAAGTAGAGAATAAAACATACAATGGATGGAAACTTGGAGAGGGTTTTCTTGTTGTTTTATGTTATATAGACTAATTTAATGTTGTTTAGCATTCTTATTTCAACCAATCAGTCTCACACATATAGCCATCATCAGCAGATACAG